AATACTTCGCGATTTTACCTAAACTCAAATTAGTGAGTTGCAATTCCAAATGCTACTGTATGCCTTAACTTAGTGTCATTTAGCACTGCTATATAATAAAAGACCGTGAATTATTAACTACCTATACTTAAATCAAATCCGGGGATATGCTCATAGATACGAATATTCTAAAAGAAAAATCTAGAGTAATCTAACCGATGATCATTACCAAATAAGGTGCAATCGTTGGTAACCAAATTTGGTATATTCCCTGACTGTATTAGTCTTTAGCTTTTGTTATCTGGTTTATCTGTCTTATATAGTCTATTTCTTAGATTTAATTTTTATAATAATTTCATCAAAAATTTATACTATCTCCTTACTCAGGATTTTAGATAAGCTTTAGTTTTTCAATCTTTAGATTTTTATATTTAATGATCTTATTATAAGTTTGCATTGACTCTAATATTAGCTTGCATTCCTTTGTGTTTTATAAACATTATATGAATGCTTCAAGCTTCTAATCTTACTGGTATAACCAAAGTTACAGATATTCTAACCCAACTAATTGATAAAGAATGTATACTATAACACAGAGTAGAAATTTAAACTTTTTACATCTAGAAAAATTGAACTCTAGTTTTGTGACAACTCACTACCATGTAGGATGGCCAATTTTGCCACACCCCAGACTTATATCTTTAAATTTTACTAAAGAAAAATAATCCAAATTCTTAAAATAATATAATCACACAATACCTACCTTAACAGATATACAACCAGATAACCTAAACCTTGACTACTTTTACCAAAATCACCCAAAAAGCAAAAATTGGTATTTATAAAGAAACATTCAATGTACCACATTCTATTCCTAATAACAGAAAACCTAGTAGCTGTATCACTACTTAACTTAGAGGAACTATTGTGTCAATAATGATCATAATAAAATATGAAAACGCTTGAACAGAGATTCCATTTGCTTTAATAGTTACTGTATAGCGCTGCATATAGTACCCCCCTGGAATAGTATCCCCATTTTTTTGACAAGCGATTTGTGGCCCAATTTCATAATTAAAAGCACGATCATTTCATTTGGTTTGATATGTCTAATAGCAAGGTATACATTGACCAGTAATGATTATTTGTATTATCCTCTCATCTCTCAATATTTGTGGGGGTATTATTCAATCTAGGCTTTCTTGAATAGTACCCGGTATAAAGTTTTAATAAGCCAGTGCAAAAAAGGTAGATCGGGACCAAAAGTTTTTGATTGAAATGATAAGTCACCGATCATTGTTTCACTTGACAAGCATGTTTGATCGGTTAAAATACTTTCCGCTAATTTAAAACATAATTTCTGACACACTTCCGACACAATTTGACTCGTTGATTGAGTTCTTGAGAACGAACTTAATCTGACATACTGATGCAGCTAAATTAGAGATGGGCTAGTAAACGTATTATTACTAATTATTTTCTCTAATTTTTGTTATATAATCAAAAACGCAACCTGATCAGCAGATTGAGTTTCAAAATTTACTACATATATATGTAATAATCATTCGTCGTAATAATTAGTATGTAATAAGATGTATAAGTACTGGGAAAAGAATAAGTAATTATGTATGTAAATGGCCGGATAAAAGATCCCCCACAACATCAGATCCGTATTATACCCGGATGCGAATTACGAAATCTGAATTAATAAAATATAGCAAAAAATACGCATGCTCTTTAAAATCCTCCTTTTAATTATATAAGCTCTCAACCATGTACTATACTCGGGGTCTATTATAGGTTTCAAAATCGGTGGAATGTAAGAGGCCTGGGTCTTTTATCCGGCCATTTACGGTACATTATTATCTTGTCCATCTCTAAGCTACTGTATATCAAACCCAAACATCTCGAACATGTTCGCAAAGACCCGAATCAGACTAAGAAGGTTGATATTCAAACCCAACCAAACTGAACTTGAAAAATAGGTTATGTCTGAATCCGGTTTGAATTTCGAACCGAACCCAAATCTACCTTCGGCTTTGGTTCGTAGGAACCTTACTAACCATGTTTGTCAATAAAAAAAAATTTATAGTAGTAATAGAGTTAGTGATTATATTAGTGTTATATTTTAGCAAAATAAATAGTAAAATTACAGTAGAGCGCAAAGAACGATTTCTTATACTAATTTTTTGAAAAAAAAAATAATAATTTTTTCAAACGAATGTTAGTTTTAGTTTTCTATTGACACATGACCTAAACATTTTTTACTTCCTCAAATTAGAGATTGTACGTACGTACGTACCTGTCAAGAAAATTTTACCCGATTATTATTAATATCCGGTTATCCGGGTAATTTATTATATATAGTCATAAAATTAATTACACATGATTACAATTATCGTTACAGTTACCGTTACAAAATAATTAACTTAATATTACACGGCGACACTTGTTTATCATTTTTAGCCTATATACTAATATATACTGATACGTATTAGAAATCTAAATCTTCACGGTATGATTTAAAGATATTGAAAACCCAGTATTTAAGGCGTTTATAAAATAGCCAGACGGAAATTATATTTTTAAGTAAATTATTACATAAGTCTTAATTTTTCGATTAATATAGTCAAAAAATTTTTTCCGAAAGTTTAAAGTGAGATACGTAATTTTTAAGACTATGTACATCAATTTTTTAATCAACGGACATTTAACGCCTACTGTAGCAAATACACGTGTCTTAAGAAGAGTTTGTTATTAACCTCCGCCGTGTAACCATATGGAATTTATACTCTATCCGCGCGATCTACCTCTTAATTGTTAGGATGAAAATATATACGTGCGTATACGTAGGCATATTATGTATAATGCAGAATCATCATTCGGGAGATGCCTAAAATCATTTGTATAATAAACTTTAAATTTATATCTATATCAGATATAGTTTTTTTTTTCTTGAGTATTATTAACCAATGAGATGCCTAATAAACTTTAAGCAATTTGGCATGCTATTATGTCATATACAGTATAAATCCGCAATAAGTGGGCGGGAAATGACCATGTCTACTAATATAAATGAACCAACTCTGACCAAATTTTTACTTAACTGCTAAAGGTCGAAATATACATAATAACTTGTGTTGCATTTCTTTTTGTCTTTCAAGTTTATTTTGGTTATACAAGACGATTTGTTTCGGAATAAATTTTTAAGTCCGGATTTACCGGACATAAAGGTAACAATAATTGTAATATGAGAATTTTTTTTTCGACGCGCCAAGTAGTGTAATAACTAAATATAGAGATAACGGATATGTTATCATAACAATTAAATTACACGCATAAATAATAATTATACCTGTTACGACGTAAATTCCGAATTCTTTGGGTATAGTATAAATATAAATTTTGTTATTTGTTTCACTGACGATCGTACGTTTCACTAATGTAGTGACCATAAAGAAGCTTGAATTGCTTCATCATATTTTTTGTTCTTCTGTCTTTTCGCTCGTATTCGCGATGAAGCAAAATAATAAAGGTATTTATCAATTATTTCGTTTTTTGTTTTTTTTTAATTTTATTAAATTTAGACTTCATGTTTCTAACTCGAAAATTTTATACTGCTTAACTTTTTCTTACAGAAAAAACCTCAATCACACCTTTAGCTTTTAGTAAATTCAAATCTAACAAAAAAATTGGCAAACAACTTAGTCCAATACTAGTTTCTGTTTCTGCTCCGATCAGTGAAAAATCACCCTTACCAGAGTATTCTCTAGATTCTATTTCACCTCTAAATAATAACAATATCAACAAGAACAATAATAACAGCGATGGGGAACGTCCTGCTCTTCCAAAATCACAATCAGCAACAGATCTTAGAACACAAGTTAGAGGGAGAGTTGCTCGTTCTTTTTCCCAGACGAGTGTTCCTGGAACTTCTACTGCAAAT